GGATGGGATGGGAAAAGGGGTGTCTCGACCGGCCTAATGCCGATCGAGTGACTCGAGGAGCGTCGGGGCTCTGTACTTATACCCTCTCGGGGATCGACGGTTTGGGCAAAATGACGTCTGCGCAAAATGATTGGCCGATTCTTAGAAGGCTCGGCTCCTGATTTGCATATTCGTTTATTCCCGCATTTATCGATAATCGGGCAGGATTTTTTGGGTCATTCCAAAGGGAATGACCAATTGACCACTGACTTTAAGTACCTAGGATTGGTCATCTGGTCAAGGATCGCGAAATAAAAATTCTAAGATTCGTGTGTATTAATTTACTAATCAGAATTTGGCCATTTGCATTAATCGTCCATAGTTACTCGGATGTTTTTAAAGTGAATGACCACTGACTTATAGTAGCCACCTCCAGGATTGGTCATTTGGTCAAGGATCGTAAAATAAAAACGCCAAGATTCGTTTCCATTAATTTATTAATCAGAATTATACATTTTTTTTTAGCTTTTTAATAGTAATAGGAATCTATAATCAACATGCTAGCATTGTTTAAGTATATAGCCTATACATCCTTAAGAGTAGGAAGAAGTGTTCTTTTTTTAGATGGGGATGTACACACACATATATTCAATAATTGTTCATTTTATTCTCGTTAAATCATGGAATGTACCCAAACGGGTACTTCTCTTTCAATTTAACGCAATCAACTATTTCATTATCTTGTTATAGTTTTAACTGCTTGCTTATGATCAATTAATTCTAAGAAACCTCGCCTATTTCTTGTTTCGATACACACGCAATCTAAGTAGTTCTGTTTTATAGATGAATTTCCATGTTAGAAATATTCCGACTTATCAGAGAAGTAAATTGATCCCTCGAGAATTGATCTATCATTCCCGGTCGCGCGTAAATCATCGGCTGAAAGTGGCTGTTCTCTGTTTCCTGTAATATCTCGGTTTTTCCCCGGCGACGTGACTCGTTCACGATAAAAACGAGATACAGGACAGGCTCTCCTCGCGTTTATAAGACAACGGGAAGATATCGCGGTGGGATTAACCGAAGTGAATCGAGCCGCTGCTCCCGGTACGACGTTAGGCTCTAAATGATAGCCTGGTCCCCGTTAGGCGCCAGCATGATTAAAGATCGGACGTAAACGCTGGGATTTGTTCCTTGAACGTCGGTGGCTCGCAACGCCCTGTACGTGCTGGGATCGACGACGTTCGCCTCGGTCTGCCCGGAGCGCGTACGCTTGTGTTCATTCATAACATGCATAATTGCGACCGTTAGACGCGGATCTAATTGAGTGCAACGATAGTTACCATTTCAGTGCTTATCTCGGATACGTATTCGTGGCCCTTGCCGATTGAATCGCGATCTGCTCCGTCAGCGATTCTCGTCGAGGAAATTCTTACCTCCGATAATTACGCGTGTATTATTCAATCCGAACATGTTTCTACTTCTCGAGTTGGTACTTACAGACCACACAGAACGCCGGCAGGTGTAACGCAATAAAGAAACGTGTTACGTAATCTTAATCTTAAATAAGTAGATTTTTTACAGATTAGTTTGATACGATTCCTTTGTTGAGTTTTTGATTGGCGAAGGAAATTATTTGGCGATCAGGCGTATGAGATTGAAATTGCGCAAGGTTAATGGCGTAACGGTTTAGCGGGGGGACGGAGTCGCGGGAGACGCAAGGGCATCGATTTCTAAGTCGTTTGCAATCTTCGGCCACAGGGTATACGTACGTACGGTAACTTTAATTTTAGAATGGCCGCAGGCCTGGCTGCTCGCAAATTACGGCGAGTCGCGTGGTTGAAACGCGTGTAGCGAGACTGAGACCGTAGGTAGACCGCGCGCGATGTTATCCTTCACGCGCTCGCGCATCCTTTTTACGAGGGAGCTCTGGCCGCGGACGCCACGTTGCGTTGCGCCGCTGCAGTCCCGAGCCCGTTTCTTGCCTCTCCTGTCCTTTTACATTCGGTCGGGTTGTGATTAGAATCATTTTCATCTACGCGGCCGGG